AATCAAAAATAAATTACTTTGTTATTAAATCTAAACTAAATTATAATAAAAAAATTGAATTAAAGAAATTACACAATTAAATAGTTAATTTGATACTAATATTGATATATTTATTTTCGAAATTTTATGATATCTTCAAATTTATATTTTATTCAAAAATAGAAACATTATCCTTTTATTGAAACCATATAAAAACCGTATTATAACATCTTCAGATAAAGAATAAAATAAAACGTTAAAATCGAGATTTATCTCGTTACATTGCACGAGTACCATTTTAGTATTATTAAATAGTATTATTAATTTATCCTTCTATAAACTTCTAAAAAAAGTTACCAAATGGCCTTTGGCCTAGCGGTATCGTAGGCTTGGCCTTCTAGGAGGTTAGGGGTTCAAACCTCACCATAGGTGAGAAGGGTGTGTGAGTTTATTTGTTGCATTTATCATATATAAATATTATATACTTAAAAAAAAACTTCTAAAAAAGTTTATATATACACTATATTATAAAACATTTGACAAAAACTCTTAAAAATAATTTTTTATGCATATTACAACTTATTAAAGCTTCATTTTTAAATTTATGTAACTAAATGTAGATAAACATAATCAAATATTCAAATACACGATAAACATTCATTTTAAATATAGAAAATCTAAAATATAATTAAGATAATTATTGAGTTCTAATATAATCTTTAATTATTATTTTTATAAAAAATGATATTATTAAACCAAAAATAAATTATTTTGTTATTAAATCTAAATTAAATTACAATAAAAAAATTGAATTCAATAAGTTACACAAAAAAAAGGAGAATTATTAAATAGTTAATTTGATATTAATATCGATTTATTTTTATCAAAATTTTATGTTATCTTTCAAATTTATATTTATTCAAAAATAAAAATACTATCGTTTTCTAAAACCCACATAAAATCATATTATATCGATAGAGATAAATAATAAAAACCAAACATTAAAATGGAGATTTATCTCACTGCATCATATTATTGGTGGAAAACATTTAAAATAATTATTATCTCCTTTTTATTGAGTTTTACAGAATTTTTAAATTAAATATCACATATAAATTGGTATATGGAACAATAGATACAACTTGATTTAATTTCTAATGTTTAGATAGTTTTTATATGATATTCCCATAAGCGAAGGATGGTGTGAAAATGGAAATTATGGCGAGAAGTATAACGATAGATTTGAACCCTTGATCACTTTTAATCTCACGTACACTTATGAATTGCACTTTAGAAGGGAATTGATTTACAATTATAATCGATCCAAGGATGAAGATCTTTTCTTATGTTTGTCACTGTAACTTTCTTCTTATCGGAACTCAACCTTATTCCGATACCTGTATATGTGTTTCACATGGTATACATCGTAATCGATGGAGTAAATGAAACCTAAGAAGCTTCGAATCGCAACTCAGACAGAAAATAATAATAGAAAATTTGTTAGAAAGAAATAAATGTCTTTTGACTTTTTTACAAGTCAATATGAAAAAACAACAAGGCCCCTCACAATCCCTCAAATTGCATTTCTGGTGTTAATATTTTTGATATTGTCACAATTCACCCTAAACTTTAAGTTTTCAAGTTTTGAAATGAACTTTATGAAAAGCATTGTAACCGTTTTCTCTCAACCAATCATTTTCTCAGTTCTTTTCGTTTTTACAGTTTAAAAATGCAAAATACTAGAAAAGGTATGCTATAGGGATATAAATATACTGAGAGTGACGCAATCGCGTTCCAAGAAAAATCGTATACTTGACCTAGTAGATTGAATGCGAAGATTACGAATGCAAATCCAATCATAAATAGCAGGAACATTGAATATTATCAGACGCATAAACTGTCACCAAAAAGATTATCATAGAGGTCAGTATTGTTGATTATATATGACGTCAACTGTAACCAAACAGTATGATTCAATAAAATTTTTATTGAAGACAATGTATATATCTGTTTTTAGTTTTCATTGTTAACGTTAATGTATATGAATTACAAACAGTACACCATAAAGCAGTTTAATAGTGTTGTGATGAAGTTATTCAAGATCACACCTTTTTGTTAAACTTTATGCACCAATTTGATAAAAATGAAAGATATTGTTCCAATTTGCAACATATTTTAATTTGTTTATTACATTTAATGTATTAAAGACTAATTAGAGGTTGTTTGTTTACTTCTTAATAGTTTCATTAAGAGGCAGTTCCTGAATCGTTAAGAGGTGAATCTTGTTTGATAATTTTTTTTTTTTTTGCTTCTTAATGGTTTTTAAATCCCCTGAATGATTTTGTATCTCGAGTCTCCCTTAACCATTCAACACTCTAATTTTATTGTAAACAATTGTAATTTATTTTGCATTATATCATGAGAGCCTCTTAATCATTCTGACCATTTGATCATTTTGTACTAAATCATTCAGCAACTGACAAACAACCTTTAAATAAAGCAAAAATCAAAGGGCCTTTTTTTATTCTTGTTGCAATAAATATCTTTATTTTATTTATATTTTCTTGTAAGTTATTATTATAATATATTTTAAATTTTTAATGACCCTTGACCATTTATTTTTATATTTTTAATATAAAAATAAATCTTAGAATTAATGTTAGAGTTTGAGTAATATTTATATGACAGATTTTATTTCTTTTTTCATATCGAAATCTTTTTTGCAGACTCTATCTTCATTGTTAAAAGTCAGCGTTCGGGTGTCGATTTCTATCTAGAAACTGAACCATACGATGAATGAAGATGAGCTACATGCCATTTTCAGGCGATTGTACTCTAACGTTGCCTCACCTTCGACGTCATCCTCCCTTTCCTTTTCCTCCACCACTACCACTAGCACCAGCCCCGTCGCCACTATCATTGCTCCGGTTATTCCTGTAAACACTAACGGTGGTCAAAACCTGATCTTTCGTAGTCAGATGTCTTTGTATCCGCTCGTACATGGAAACAGTATAAATCAAACACCCGATGGCGATAATGATTCCCACCAACATGATAGTGTTAGGGGCTTTCATTTTGCCGTTACTCCCTCTTCCCCTATCACTGCCACCATTTCTACCCTCACTGATTCGATTGTGCCCACAAATGCTTATAACAGTCAAAAATTTACCTTTCAAGGTGAAACATTGATGTCCCAGTTTCTGTATGGTGATAGTAGGGGTCAAACATCCGGTGATAACATCAACTTCGATGACGTCATGGATTTTAATTATGCTGCTAATACCTCTTCCTTCCCCATGAGTACAACGAACAACAACAATACAAATACCATCACCAGCACTCTAGTTATGCCTATAGCCACCGATAACACCATAGCTCCTAATATGCCTATAACCACCACAAACACCTATCCAGTTGTTCCAATACCCGCCATTAACACCGGATTTATCACACCAGTTATGCCTATGACCACCATTAACACCAACAACACCACTCCAATCACGTCTATAACCACCACTAACACCATCACAGCCACTCCAACAATGCCTATAACCACCAGCAACACCAACAGCGTCACCAACACTCAAATAGTGCCTATAGAGGCTTACAATCCACAAAATTCAACTTTTCAAGTTGAAGATATCTATCAATTTCGACCAAATTTACACATAAATGAAGAATTGTTACAAGAACCATTCAACCCCTTCGACTTTCCCAATTTACAAAACCATCCTTCTATTTTGCGTATCTCATCAACCCCAACCTCTTTTTCCTCCAAAGGATCGCAAGATCAAGCACACCAACATTACAACCAAGAACTTCTTCACGGGAATCAACAATCTCTTGGCATTTCCAAGCATACGAGGACTTATGCTAAAAGTACAACCCGATACAAAAAACGGTAAAAATGTAAAAATTTATCTGTGGAAAAGTCAAAAGATGTTTCCCCTCTCGATTACGTACGATTTCATTTTATGGGTTGTCTTAGATATATTTTTTTTTGCAATTGGAGATAAATTTGTGAATATAATTTGATTTAAAAAATTAATATGTGTTACATTCTCTAAGAGCATATTTGTTTTGCAGGAAGAACCAAACGAAGAGGATTTTTCAAGTGCCATATGAGGAGAAAATATCTGAAAAATATTGGAGAAAATACGGTCAAAAACCCATCAAAAGCTCGCCTTACCCAAGGTTTTTCATTTCTCACTTTTTTAAGTATGTCATATTTATACGCAACAAATACTGATGTACGCTTATCACGTTTACTGAGGTTTAAACTCTTGACCTCATAAGAGGCTAGGATTTAACTGTGACCCAGATGTCTGTGTGCCAATGACTCTCTCTCTTTCACACACACACACACACACACACATAAGGATGTTTGATTTTTTTCCATAACTATCTTAATTACTATATTATATATATATATATATATATATATTATATTATAAAGCATTTGGCAAAAACTCTTAAAAACTCTTAAACCCGTTCATCCCTATCCGATTTCATCCCATATCTGAATTCGTGTAACTAACTGCAGA